AACAACAACAACAACAACAACAACAACAATTGTTTGTTCTGAAGGCGTGCCATGTGCATTGTGGAATCTGATTATGATGGTGAAAAAGGTCTACTTTGCCAGTGAAATGGGATCTAGTGAAATGCAGGGGCCTAAGGAGATGGTGGCCTTGAAATGTAAATTTGAGGAGTTATGATTTTCCCTGGAGATCTTTTGTAGTGCAAGTCTTTGTAGACAGCAAAGTAGCAAGTAGAAGATTCTAAAGTATAGAGATGTCACATGTGTGGCTTACCTGATAGTTTTGTGACTTCTTTGTACTTGTGAAGTATCCTGTCACCACAAACTGCCCAGAAGACAAAAGATGCAAGTTAATGGATGTCATATTCGATTATTTTCAACACGAGCATAAAGTGACTAGTGCCACTCAGGCTAAGTGAGATTTCTGTCACCCAAAGCAAAGTTACTTAATTTCCTTAAGGTTATGATAATAGGAAGCCCTTTTGTGGAAATAGGGGTTGGATCTTGGGCACCTGAACCTCAAACAGCTGATACATAGAGTAATTACTAATCCCTCGGATTAGTATAGCCTCTTTCAAATTGATGCTTTCAGCTCTGCTGTTACCATCAATGAATTTATCTCCTACTCAAAAAAGATAATAGTTTAGACTATAGCCAACCTTTAAATGTCTCAGACACTTGAGAACTTGGCAATGAACTTTCCTTGCACGTGTATTAAAGTTTTATGTTGTCAATATGAGCACAAGGGCTGACATGATCTGGTTCTGGTAACATTTTCTTTTTAAAGTTCATTGTATGCCTCTACCAAATCTGCTGCAAAAGGCTGCTTTTATAATGTTAAAAATCAAGTGTCTCATTTTGATAACTAATGTGAGCCTGGCAAAAGCTGTGGCATAATCAAACACCTGCTAGACATCAAAGTGGAGTTCGGTGACTTTAGTGGTACAGAGTGACGGCGTCAACCCAGAGGCCCATGATTTGAACCTGCCGGTTGCTGTGTGGGAGGAAGGTGGGCAATCTCTTCCCGTGCAACTTACAGGCTCTGAAAAATTACTGAACGGTCAGTTATGAGTTCTATCTCACTCAATGACCATGACCACAACAGATATATCTAAAGCAGGATAAGGTAGAATTCATCATCTTGAATATTGTACTGGTGAATAATACTGAATATACCATAGTTTGCTGGAAGAATGAAAAAAAAAATTCTGGAAAGAAGTAAAACCAATGTGCTCCTTAGAGGTGAGGACAGAGAGAATTTTTTTTCTCATATGGTTCAGGTATATTGTGAAGAGAGACCAGTCCCTTGAGAAATACATCATGATTGATAAAGTAGAGGGTCAAAGGGAAACAGGAAAATCCTCGACAAGGTAAATTGATGCAGTGGGGGCAACAATCAGCTCACACACAATATTGATGGCAGGAGGGAGCAGACTGGACCATGTTTTGTTCTATTGTATGGATGAGTCACTGTGAGTTGGAATCGATTCAAAGGCCCCAAACAGAAACTGTGGACTCATTGGTCTTAGTTCCATTACTTTCTCTCATATCAAGTTCTCCCTGCTCTCATTCCCTGCCCTTGGCTGGGATGCTTCCATCTCACCCAGGGAAGGTGTATGCACGATTCCCCAACCTTCCTGTCTGCCAGTCCTCCTTGTACCCAAGACATAAAACAGACTCAGGAAGTATCATTTTAAAAAGGGTGAGAGTAAAATGTGCAATAATGAATGAATAGGGAAAAAATGAAATGGAAAAACTATGCTGTACAAATATGTATGTTGCACTAAAAATCATTAATAAAAAATAACTATATATAAAATAAATAAAAAGGTGGGAGCGTGCAAAAGCACATACTGGATCCTCGTTTTCATATGTGTATGCAGATCACACTGAATCAAATGGGAAAACTCCCTTGTGAAATGTGGGAAGTGATGAGTTGGTATATTTGAATTTCTATGATTGATTTTCGTTGTTTTTGTTCAAACATTCTCCTAGGTCATATAGCACTTGTCTGTCCATTTGCTGTACAGAGGTAACTTGTGTTTGCTGTGAAGCTGAACATTGTGATACTGATATGTCAAATGCTATAATGGTTACCCATGGTGGACAGTGTTTGGTGGAGCTCCCCGGTTAAAACAAGCTTGGAAACAGGAGTGGCATCCACTTCCAAAATAGCTTGCCTCCAGAAACCCTATGAACCTGGAGAAAGATGAATGTCATGCAAGTGTCGAGGACTTTCGTTCATAGGGTCGCTATGAGTTGCCTACAACTTGACGGCACTTAACAACAACAACAACAACAATGACTGGACATGGGCGGTTTGAAAGTTGTATTCAATAGTACGTTATTTATATTTGGAAAGTCAAAACCATACTATTTGTTTTTTTAATTGATGTTGTTGTTATGTGCTTTTGAGTTGCCTAGGACTCATACGCACAATAGTTCTGAACTCTGTCCTCTCCTGGGCCAATCTCACCGACTCTGACATGCTTACTCCATTACCTCCGTTACTATGCCAATCTGTCTCCTCTGGAGTCTTCCTCTCCTGTACTTTCCCTTCACCTTTTCAAGCATGGGGTTTTTCTCCAAGGACTGGTGCCTCCTGGCCACCTGGCCACATGCTTAAAGTATGTGAGATGGAGTTTCTAAATCTTTGCCTCCAAGGAGCAGCTTGGTTTCACCTTCTCCAAGGACAGACCTATTTGTTCTAAGTAATAGACTCTTGATAGTCAACGAGAAAATGGTCTCCTTTATTCATGAGCTCATGGGGTTCTGAAAAGACAAGAATCACTAAAATAGAAATATCCTTACCCTCTTGGAAAGGTCCATTTATACTGAGAAAGCCCAAATGAATCTATCATTAAAATATTGTGGCACACCGTCAGGAGTCAAAGTTCTAAGGGTTGTATATTAATAGTATTCTAAGAATTATATTTAAAGCTATATTTTTAGGAAAACATGTAATGAATTTATCTTGGGATAGGAAAAGGGTTGAGGTCTAATAAATTTAAAATTTAACTTAAAAAATTTAAAAATAAAATTTATCTTGAGCTAAAAGAATCTGTGATATTATGAATGTTAGCTAGATATGTTTAAGCTATTCAGCATTTCTCAAGCTCAGTTTTCATGTCTTTTTTCTTATTTCAATTGTTATGTACCATCAAGTTGGAACTGACTCATAGCTGACCTCCAGTGGGTTTTCAAAGGCAGTAAATCACATGGGAGGAGATTACCTATCTTTGTCCCACAGAGTAGTAGTGGGCTTGAACCAAGTGCCTTTGGGTTGATAGTGAAAGTCCTCACTGTTGTCAGAGGAGTAAACGGCTTATTATATACATCAGGGCTTTTGAAACTTTAAAACACTGTCCATTTAAGAAGAGTTATTATGACAATGATGAAAGTATGATGACCAAATTGTATAGTTGCTTCTTTTGCTAAAAAAAAAAAAATTTAAAAAATGTATTGGCTTTTAGTCTATTTGGTGTAACCACAGAATTTATGATCCCAGAATTTGAAGCATTTCAAACCAGTTTTAACAGCAAATTAACCAAAGCTCCTATTGGACAATACTCACAATGAGCGCTCCCCAGAATGGAAATCCTGTGGTGAACACGAAAGGAGAGCTTTGGAGGAATGTGAGTAGGTTAAAAGCAAATATAATTCCGAGGCTTGCCATGATCAGACCGAGCAGGATCTGGGTGGTCTGTGAGGAAAGGATGAAGCACACGAGCTTAGGAGCCTCACAGGTCACCTGGAAGCCCCAAGTCCACCCTCAGACACGCACTCTCCTACCTTGGTGAGCTTTCCCCACACATTCTGTGCCACTGAGATGTCCTCCTCTTCCATTTACCAACCTCTTAGTCAGGAAAGAGCTCTGGTAGGGAAGTGATCAAAAGCAAATTGACAGGTCCAAATCTAACCCACATCTTGGTGGGAAGAAAGACCCAAGCGAGGATCTGCTCTTGTAAACATCACTGCCTAGGAAAACCCTACAGAATGGTTCTTCTCTGTCTTAGGGTCTCTATGAGTGAGAATCAACTCAATGGCACAACAACAGGATGGTCAGAACTCATTGTTGTTTTTGTTTGTTTGTTTGCTTGTTTGTTTCAAATATCTCTTTCCAATTAAGCTTGTCTGTCATTGAGGTTCAAAATCCTTCACTCTTGTTCCTCACTACTTCGTATTAGCCGTTCATCTTGCATCAGGCTGATGTGAAGGGTTGCCTGGCTGCTTCTAGACTGTAAGCTTCTTGAGAACAGGATTTACACACCATTCACTTCTGTACTTTCCCCATTCACCGGGACTCTCTTAATGGCTCCTCTACATCACAGTGGACCTTCAATAGATACTTCTTGAGTTGAAGCTCAGTTTATGAAGTTTACGGACACAGAGGTAGAATGAGGATCTGTCCTCTCTCTCCTTTATCCATGCGCCTGACTAGAAAGAAGAGTTAACTCAGCAGGTCTATCAGATTGCCAAGGGATAAACATCATGGTGGTCTTGCAAAGTTGGTGGCTCTTCTCCTCAAGGCTTCTGGGTTTTGTCACCAGGCCTTACCTAGGTGGTATCACACCACAAAGAGTGGTTTTACTATCATGCTAAGGATAAATGCTATGTACACAATTTCCCCCTCCTCTGTCCAGGTATGTTTAGGACATAAGGAATTTTGTGTGTGTCTAGATTGTGCCTCACTACGGAGTATTGAAAATAATTTTCAATGAATTCTTAGTGCTTAAAATAGCATTACAGGGGAGCTTAACTTTTTCTCTAATGACTTCAAAGTTCCCAGGGAGGTGCTAAAACATCCTGAAGTCACTTTCACAACAAAATACTTTGAAAGATCACCCCAAACCCTTTGCCTTTAACTAGATTCTGACTCATGACTGACCCTTGGGTTTCTGAGTCTGTAAAACTGTATAGGAGTAGATTTTCCATTCTCCTGTGGAGTGGAAGGTGGAATCGAACTGCCAGCATTTTGCTTAGCAGTCTGATGCATGATGCACTACACTACCAGGGCTGCTTAAAGGATTATTAACCAGAGCTAAATAGACCCTAGCCATTGACTTTGACTTTACTTCATGGACCGGTAGGTCATACAAATGGGATGTTTAGTCTATCCATTAACTATCTACTAGAGTGTTTTAGGGACCTCTGGTGGCTTAGTGGCAAGGAATTGCATTGTCAGTGCAAAGGTATGAAGTTTGAAACCACTAGCAGCTCCATGGGAGAAAGGCAGGTAATTTCCTCCCACGTGATTTATTGTCTCTGAAAACCCACAGGAGGGTCAGCCATGAATTGTTTCCAACTCAAAAGTCTATAACAACAACAAGAAAAAAATATATCCATATGCACACCTAAGTTTATTGCTGAGTTGTTCACAGTAGAAAAGAGATGGAAGTAAAGCAAGTGTTCATCAACAAATGACTGGATAGAGAAGCTGTGGTATAGTTACACAATGGAATACTATACAGCACTGAGAAACAAGGAACTTGTACAATATTATATAAAATGGGTGACCCTGGAAGACATTGTGCTGAGTGCGATATCTCGGTTACAAATGACAAAGACTGCATAATTCCACTGTTATAAAACAGGACTGACATGAGGTTTTGGAGAAACTAAGAAAAGAGGGGGTGCATGATGAACACCGCATTGAAACAGATGAGGGAAAGAACTCTTTAAAAGGAATATATGATTAGGTATTATTTCATGACAACAGTCCAGAGTAAGAGTGGCATAGCAAAGTGGACTTGGGGACAATGGGGGAGGGAGGAAATTGAGTAACAATGAAAGAATTTTTTTTTTTAAAGAGAAAAGCAAACTGGCAGAGGGGGGAGGAATAGGGAGGAAAATGTTCAGAAGTGAATGGATGGAAATCCAAATTTTCTGTAAACTTTCATTAAAATAGCAATAAAAAAGAAAAATTTTGTTAAAAGAAAGAAATTTGACCACAAGGTGATTGGCTAGTCTCATAATTAAATTGAATGGATTCAGCATCATAAATTGGGAATACCAATACCAGTGAGGAAGAGGAAGCAGTGTGCATCCTACAGTGTCCGAGCTTCTTATGCCAGACAGATTGGGATCTATACGACAGCAGCTACAGACTCAGCAGAGAACCAAAGCCTGACAAAAGACAAAGCTGATTTGAGACGCTGCCTTACAGAGTCAGAGTGAGCTCCAGGTCTCTAGGCCTTTACTCAAGCTTGCCAGAGGATGAGGAAGACACTATTACTGGCAGGACCTCATAACACTGACCTAAGTGGTGAGACTGAAGGTCAATGGTTCTTCAACTTTGCATGTAAGAAGCTGTCTGGTCTGAGGAATTGTATCTTGCTGCTAATTTGTATTATAGCTTATTAACTTCTCTAATAAGCCCCGTAACTGGAAGTATGATTCTGAGACATTTGAGTAGTCATTGCAATGGATTTTGGACCCAGTAGAGCAGTAATATAGGTGGTGGGATTAGTAGAAATATAGGAGCATGGGAGACCACATCTGACCTTGTTGTTGTTGTTGTTGTTGTTGTTATGTGCCATTGAGTTGCCTGTGACTCATAACGACCCTATGTACAACGGCCCTAACCTCTGCTCTATCCTATGCCAATCTTATTGCCTATGACACACCTGCCTCTTTTACCCTAGTCACGGAATCAATCCATTTCATTGAGGGTCTTCCTCTCTTGTCCCCCTTCAAGGACTTGTCCCACCTTGCAAGATATCCAAAGTATGTCAGACAGAACTTCAGAATCCTTGCCTCCAAGAAGCAACCTGGTCTCACTCGCTCTCAGACAAACATATATGTTGTTCTAGCATCAATTCTCCTTCTATCATACCTAATCATTGTCCAGCTTTCTGATGCATAGCAAGATTATAGCCTGTATCAGGCACACCATAGTCTCCAGACTGACATCATTGCTCTACAGTACTTTGCAGAGGTCTCTGACAACAGACTTCCCCAATACAATACGTCTTTTAATTTCCTGGCTGCTGGTACCAAGAGTGTTGGGTATTAATAATCTCAATGTCTTCACAGGAATTAATTTTGTACTGTAGATGTTATTGACAGGGACAGTTCCACTTTGTGGATTTATAGAGGTCTGACCCAGCTGTCCCCATTTTACCTACACTCTTTCTACAGCCCTCAGAAGCATTTGTAAAATAAGAGACAAACTATGTGTCTTTCTAATGGAATTTTTCTTTCTCTTGTTCATTGAAATCTAGAGAAGCATATCAATGGCTTTATGTTACTGAGATCTAAATTCTTCAAACAAGCATATTATTTAGAAGCACTCAGGGTCCTTGGGTGATGCAAATGGTTTCTACTTGAGCTCTGGTGGCCTAGTGGCAAGAAGCTGCACTGCAATCCTGAAAGCATCTGGTTCAAGGCCCCCAGCTGCTCCATGGAAGAGGGATGGGCAGTCTCCTCCTGTGCAATTAACTCCCTCTGAAAACCCACCACAGGGTCAGCTATGGGTCGGTTCCAACAACAACAACAACAACAACAACAACAACAACAACACCTAAGGGAGCTCTGGTGACCTAGTAGTCAGAAGCTGTGCTGCATCACAAAGGCACACAGTTTGAATCCACCAGTTGTTTCATGGAAGAATTAGGGACAGTGTCCTCCCATGCAGTTAATTGCCTCTGAAGATCCACTAGAGGGTCGGCTATAGGTTAGTCTGACTCGATGGTACACAATCACAACAACTAACCTAAAGGTTGCTGGTGTCAAATCATCTAGTGGAACAAAAGATGTAGTTGTCGTTGTTGTTGTTGTTATGTGCTGTTGTGTCGCTTGTGACTCACAGCGACCCTATGTACAACAGCCCTAAACTCTGCTCTGTTCTGTGCCAGTCACACTGTCTCTGACACTCCCATCCCAATCACCCCAGTCACTGAATCAATCCACCTCATAGAGGGTCTTCTCCTCTTGCGCCATCCCTTCACCCTCCCAAGCATGATGTCCGTCTCCAAGGACCGGACCCTCCTTACAACATGTCCAAAGTATGTTAGACGAAGCCTCAGGATCCTTGCCTCCAAGGAGCCGCCCAGTTTAACCGTCTCCAGGATGACTATGTTTGTTTTCCTAGCAGTCCATGGTACCCTCAATACTCTTCCAGCTCCACAGCTCAAAGGTGTCAATTCTCCTTCTATCCTCCTTAGTCATTGTCCAACTCTCTGATGCATAACAAGTGGTTGCAAAGATCATGGCCTGTATCAGACACACCTTAGTCTCCAGAGCGACACTATTGCTCTTCAGTACTTTGGAGAGGTCCCTAACAGCAGACTTTCCCATCGCGATACATCTTAATTTCCTGGCTACTAGTGCCAAGAGTGTTGACTGTGGAGCCAAGCAAACTAAAGATGTGAACAACCTCAATCTCTTCACCATCCATCCTGATGCTGCCAATTGGTCCAGTGGTGAGAATCTTTGTCTTCTTGACATTGAGCCTCAATCCATATTGAAGGCTGCAGTCCTTGACCCCCTGCAGCAAGAGCTTCAGGTCCTCCTCAGTTTCAGCAAGCAGGGTTGTGTCATCTACATAAAGCAGATTGTTGATAGATCTTCCACCAATCCTGAGCCCACATTTCTCCTCATAGAGCACAGCCTCCCGGATAATCTGTTCTGCATACAGGTTGAAAAGGTATGGAGACAGGACACATCCCTGGTGTACACCCTTCCCAATTTTGAACCACCCAGTGTTTCCTTGCTCTGTTCTGATGGCTGCCTCTTGTCCAAGTGTAGGTTTCTCATTAGCACCATCAGGTGTTCTGGGATTCCCATTCTTCTCAGAGTCAGCCACAGTTTGTTATGGTCCACACAGTCAAACGCCTTTGCATAGTCACTGAAACACAGATAGACATTCCTCTGGTATTCCCTGCTTTCAGCTAAGATCCATCTAACATTAGCTACGATATCCCTAGTACCACAGCCCCTTCTAAACCCAGCTTGGACTTCTGGCAGTTCTCGGCTGGTGTACTGTTCCAGTCCTCTTTCAAGACTGCAGCCAAGAACAACCTATGGAAAAGCTCTATTCTGTAACGCATGGGGTTGCCATGAATCATAACCAATGTTAACTAACAACATAACTCACAACAACATAATTAGTCTATAAAGACATATTACAGGTCAAACAAAGTGGTGGGAAAGAAAAAGCAACAGCATTGGTAGTGAAATCAACATCCTTTTTGAAGAGCATTATGTAATATTAGCTCTAGACACATATAGAGAAGTGACTTCTCTGCAGGGCCTCAATTTCCATCCTCAAAACCCCAGTGATGCTAGGGATTGAGGAAGACTTACCCCCAAGACTTGTGGCTCTCCATTCAGGTAATCCAGCAGAGAGCTTTGAGCTTGTAAAGGAAATCCTGTCATTACACTTTCCCCTGGATGGATAGTGATGGCATGGGCATCTTTGTGAAACCTAGTTGATGACGCCATGATTCATTGGTAAAAGTCTGCTAAGAGTGGGTGCATGTTATAACCAAAATCTTGGTCTTCCCCCCATCAGTATGACATGGAGTTCTTGGCAGTGCAACCTTAACAATGACTCTTCATTTCTAGGGGCACAGAATTGTAGCCATTGAGTCATAAAGTGTTAGAATTCTTGGGCATACTCAGTGCCCTAAATTCCTCATGAAAGATCCAATTGTTCTTAGGAGTGACTTTTTAAAATCAACTTCTTTATAGATGACACACAAAATAAATCTCAATACTTAATGTTCGTAGATAAAAAGGAATGAAAATGACCTGAATGTCTACCACTATGTTATTGTCAGGCATTGTCAAGTTGACTATAACCCATAGTGACCCTTTGAACAATGACCTTACCCTCTGCCATGCCATTTTTATCATCTTCCACATAGTTGAACCTGTTGTTATTGTCACTGTGCCAATCTATCTTTTTGAGTGTCTTTCTCTGATCTTTCACCTTTCCAAGTTTTATGTTGGTCCCTCCTAGCAACATGCCCAAAATATGTGATACAGTGTATAACCATTTTTACCTCTTAGACCCTGGCTGCACTTCTCCAAGACACTTTTTTTTAAATGAATTTTTTATTTGATATTTATTTACAAAGTTCATATACATTGTTTTTTCCCACCAGATCTTTCCCATTTCCTTTACCCACCCTCCCTCTACCCATCAGATTGTGTGACGCTACAGTTACCCCCTGCCCATCCTCATCCTTCTGTTCCTCCCCTCCCCTCCTTGGATCCTCATACATGTTTTACTAGTTGTCTGTTTATTTCTACAATGATGGTCTTATACAGCATTGTCCCTGTAGGACTGAGTTAGTTCTCTTAGTGCTCTCCAGGTGCTCCCAAGTTAGCTAGTAATTTTAAAAATCATTGTTCCTACGTACTGCATAGTATTCTATTGTGTGAATGTACCATAATTTCTCAATTCATTCAATTGTAGTTGGAGATTTGGGCTGTTTCCATGTTCTTGAGATGGTGAATAATGCTGTTATGAACATTGGTCTCTATTTGTGCCTCAGTTCTCATTTTTCTCAGGGTATATTCCAAGCAGTGAAATAACTGCTTCATGTGACATTTCTATGTTTAGCTCTTTGAGGAAATGGCAAACTGCCTTCCAGAGAAGTTGTATCATTTTACAATCCCTTCAACAGTGTATAAGAGTTCCTATCTCTCCACAACCACTCTAACATTTATTTCTTGCTCTCTTGTTAAACTTTGCCACTGCTACTGGGGTGAGATAATATCTCATTATAGTTTTGATTTTAATCTCTCTCCCAGACATTGTTATTATTTTTTCCTTTTCATTGTTACTATTTTTGCAGTCCGTGTTCATGTTCAGTTCAGTAATTTTTATTTAACTTTCAAATGCATCGCAAGTAATGGAGAAGACCATGGCTTGGAAGAGGTGCACATTAGTCTTTAAAGTGCTCCTACAGAAGGTATTTTTGTTTGTTTGACAAGCGTTACATTGAATCCTTTATAAATTCTATGTTGCTGTAACTGAGGCATAGAAAGGTTAAGTTAATCAAGGTCACACACTAAGGGACAGGGGAAAGAGTTAAGGTCTAATTTTCCATTTCCAAAATCTATATTATTTCTATCAATCCTGGTTCAAATTGTCTTCAAAAAGGTTTTCTCAGGGAGCTATGGCGGCCTAGTGCTATTGTGCTGCAATCTTGAAAATGTGCAGTTTGAACCCACCAGATGCTCTGCTGGAGAAGGAGGGGCAATCTCCTCCTGTACCAGTCAGATCTGATTTGATGGTACACTACTAGAAAAACAAAAACAAAAAACCATCAAAAACAAAACACCCAAAAGGATTCCCCACTTATAAGTGATAGATTTTTTTATTATTGCTCAACAGTAATCCTTGATAGTATAATAATTGTTGAGAAGGCATGAATAAACTGGTTAATAACTTTAATAGAAGACATTTTAGCATGCAGAAAGGCAAATAAAATATATTTAATTAAAGGCCTTTATGGCTTATACTAGACAAATATAAGTTTAAATAACTTGATAGAATCAACATTGGGGTTCACTTGATGGCACCTAATAACAAAACCAAGTAGTATAAAGACGGCCTCTTTGACCTACAACCAGGAGAAGATAACGTAGATGAACGGGATCTTCTAAGACTCAAATCCCTATGCACATCCAAAAACTTCTCCAATAGGATAAAAAGGGAAGCCACTGACTGGGAAAAAGTATTCGGTAATA